AATCTGGGAACCATCAAGTTGGATTTACAAAATCTACACCTTGTAAAGTTGTTACGTATATTTGCGAGTGCACAGTGGGCCAGGGAGGTTGCCTTAAAATCACTGCCATTGCTGACCTCGCAACTGCTTTCCACTGCCCTCGTCTTTTGGCCTGGCCAAGTGCAGTAAGTGGTTGTTTGGGCCGAATGTTGGCTGAGTGAAGAGCCACGTGCAGTGCTTCTCAGTGGCTGCCAGTGGCCAACGGGCCGCCAAGCCACTCAAACCATCCAAACCACCCAAAACACCCATAAAACATTCGTGGCCAGTGGCCAGAGTCCGAGTCAGACAACGCCTCAATTCGGTTTGTTGGTTTCTGGGCCGCAGACGAAAGTGAATTCTATGGTTTTCCCTTCTGGTTTCCACTCGCACGCAAGGTTTACTGTGTGCTTCCATTTTATTATCCGCCCATCAAGAGCCACCCCTCATCCGCCGGATTGGAAAAGCAGCAGCAAACGATTGTCCATGCATGGCGCACATAATTGGCCCAAACGCCAAATCGACAACGCATTGTTTTTGCCGCTGGAGTTGTTGGCGTGACGAGCGGTAGTCCTTTCGAGGTAAACACCTTGGACTTTATGGCGCTTTCCATCAAGGTCTGTTGAGAAGTTATGGGGTGTTGCGGCTAATGCCTCTTTAGCCACTTTCGATTAAAGGTTCTTGAAGTCCTTAACGACGGAATCAATCTGCTGGTGAAATCTCTAATACTGCATTTTATGTGTGAGTGTTTGAATAGCCGTATTGATTTTCGATTAGGGTTTCCATTGCCATCAGTCAAGTTCGTGACATTAAAGTTATCACATATTATATACTCTTTTGAGCTTTAATTTTGTGTCACTGGCAATTGACTAGCGAATAGATGATTGATGATGAACCTCTTTCAGCATTTTGTTACAAATTAATGCCTTGGCTCTATCTTAACTTTGCCCCGTATTTAGTTACCGATTTCTCGAATATTTCATTGCTTTTAAGTGCGATGTTACGCAAACCCGATAAAAATTCGAGCTGCTGGCTTCCATCTCTAGAGTCTAGACTCCAGACTCTATAGACACTGCCTGCAGGCTCCTCATTTGGCAAACAATTTGCCCAGCAATTTGTGAGTGCTCGGCCACTCATTGCCATTATATTGGCTTGTATGGCAGATGGCCCCATCGATTTGCAAATCATCGCGCGATCGTCGAACCCCTCCACTTGAGAGACCCGCCCAACAAAACGCAGGCCATAATGATTGTTATTCCTTTCTTTTTCGCTTATTTTCTATATTATTTTTATATTTTCATCGAAGCACTGCTCGCAACAATGTATTCCCCTTATAAACTTATCGTTTGTCACTTGGCTCTATCTATCTGTGCTATCTCTCTGATCCATCGGATCCACTCCAGTGGTGCGGCGACTGGTTTCGGGTGGTTGGATGTCGCTGGTCGGGAATAGAGAGACAGCCATTGACATTCACAACACACGCGCCGTCGCTGTCTGCTGCTTTGTTTCTAATAAATAAGATGCAAAATTAATAGAAAAGAATAATTTATTGGGGAAATAATAAAAGGGAAATATGTTGTGATTCAATAATACAATGGTGTCTCTTCCTTTGTGGCCTGTGTTCTATGGAAACTTTGTAATGACCTATAAAATATGCTTCCCAAACGCATGACTTAAATAAGGCATAGCCTAGTGGGGTATTCTTTGTGAATTATACATACAAAACAAGATAGAATGCTTTAATCGAGTTCCCCGACTATCAGATACCCGTTACTCAGCTAGTGAAAGTGCAACCGAAAAATTTCAACATTTACTGGAATATTGAATTTCTGCAACATCATAACATCAGAAAAATTACAAAAAAATTTAAGAAAATAAAAATTCTAAATTTGAATGCAGATTTTTAGAGAATTGCTCCACAAACATTTAGAGGTATGCCACTTCAAATTCCGATTAAGATAGGTTGAGTTATGGACTTTGGAACTGCAGTCATGGGACATAATTGAATAACTACAACATCATAACATCAGAAAAATTACAAAAAAATTAAAAAAAAAAAATTTGCAAATTTGAATGCAGATTTTTAGAGAATGGCTCCAGAAACATTTAGAGGTATGCCACTTTAAAATCCAATTAAGATAAGTTGAGTTATGAACTTTAGAACTTCAGTTTTTGCGTGGCGAAAAGTATTTTGGCAAATTTATAGAAATTTACAAGAAATATGACATATTTTAAATTGTCATGATCAAACGAATTTTAAACGAATTTAGCTCCCTAAGTTCTTAGCCAATTGCATATTATATCTCCGTCAGTCTTCTCGATATTGTACTCCAAACTCTTGGACCTGCTGCCCACATTCCTGGTGTTTGGCTTTTGTTGGTTTCTTGCCAATTTCCTACAACGATACAAGCCAACATGAGCTAGTAACCCCTCCTGCTCAGCCCAAAGCTTACAAGCTCACATTGGCGTTGGCTTGGGGTCGTCATCGAGAGTAGTCATCGTCATCGTCAAGTTGTTACGCCCAAATTTGGCAGCAGATTCAAATCAGCCAGCGAGCGCCCCTCGATCGTTTTATTTATTCGCTCCATCGGCAGTTTATATCTTGTTTGGACCTGGTCCGTCTGTCTAGTGGCTGGTGGCGTTGTTCTAAGCCTTCGGCACTTGATATTACTCATGCCCGACCTTTGTTTGCTATCTGAATGCGATAAATGGGTTTTATATAAAAATCGCATATAGAAATGTGAGTATTGAACGGCGTTAAGTATTGCCAGGTTCACTGAGCACGACGTGGGCGTTTCGCGTTTGTCTTCCATGGGATGGCATAGTCACTTGGAGATACCTTGGGTGCCGCATCTCTATGAGCACATTCCAAAGGCAATCTATGAAAATTCTACTGTTTTTCTCCTAATTGGACTATGTTTATTGTTTGATCGTAAACGTTTGATGGGGCTTCCTATTCCTATTAACCTGGCTATCAAACATCGCAGCGCCTTATACAATTTTCTTCATCAAGTACCATCTACATACATGGCTGATCATAAGGAAAATAGCCGATAGATTTCCGCAATGAAAGCGTTAATTCAAAAGTCATACATCAATGACTATCGTTTAATGTTTAATGCCTGCCATTAGCTATTTAATTACACGAATTTCGTGTAGAATATTAAGTAAACCAACATTGGCCATATATGGATTGTGAAGCATGGATCGCGGGGTCTATAAATCAGCCAGCCACTGGTGAATGCTGGGAAAGAATGAAGTCATACCCGAGCACAGAACGTGCAATTATCGAGTTACAAGTGGATTCGTTTTATTTTTCCGTTTTCCATTTTCCCTCTGCTGATTATGGGACCTTGTTTCGGTTCACCTCATGCATATCGCGAAGTGAGCCATAAATTACATAATTGCTGTACGTTTATCTACTGGATACACAGCCACTGTTGGACACCAGACCCGATATCTGCGATTCGTGGCCTTTGTTTTCGGCTCGGAGGGTTCATTGAACCTCTGAGCCCAACTTGCGGCCAGGAAAAATCCTCAAGATACGATCTGGCGAAGTGCAGCGATCGATATTTGCCAGCAGATTGCGTTACTCTTTGTTTGCCTGCCACACGATTTGCATGATTAACCACTAGATAGAGTGCGGAGCTTATTAGTTATAAGTGTTCATGATCAGCGATTTGCTGAGCTGCTGTGTCTTTGTATGCAAATTGAATATATAGAATTGTATAATGTATGCGGTTTGATCGTGCCTAAGAGCTTTTCCTTGTCTACAACAACATTACATTCTTTGCACTTTTAGAAAGCATCTTTTGGGGCTTACATAAATAACTAGTAAAGCACTTCGATTGGCGGCAGCTTTCGGTTTCAATTCAGAGCCAAAGAAATGCTCAAGAATTCGCGTGCTTTTGTAAATATTTATCTGTGTATCTTGTTGAGATTAATTAGGTATTCATTTCCCATGCCCCGAGGTGTGTAAAGCTTTACCAAGGTGTCCAATGAAGCATGTTTTATATTATTTCCAACCGACAAACTTTACCTTTCTGTCAACTCTCGGTGAACTGTGCCAATATTGACTAGGCAAACATCTCTTAGTGTTTTCATTGTTTACGCGTAAGTTCGCTGAAATGCTCAAGGCGTTTTTCCAGGCTGTGCAAACAGAAACGCCGAAAGCCTTCTGAGGCGGCTAACTCATCCCGCTGCCCACAACAAGTTCTCCACATTTCCCCATATCGTATTTCAAACGCAGCGCCACTCGCTTGGCATGCACTTGCTTCCGAGATAACAAATTGCCATGGAAATGGAAATTCCATATGCTTGGAGACCTGGAAACCCGTAGAAGGAAGCACTCGGGCGAGGGTCAACCCGTTGCTATTGCAACCTGCGGTTTGTGGCTGCCTCCTATGGGTGGTGTCCAATGGGGTAACGCTGGGAGCTGGCCACTGGCTTTGGTGAATATTCCCGCGGGTGCGACCCATTGACGTCACACGGATATGGTTCGAATTTCGATTTTACAATCTTCGCAGAGCCACAGACAAGTGCTTATTGATTGGAGCTTGCTTAGAAAACCCGTAGATATATTATAAAAATAAGGTAGGCAGACAACCTTACTTCTCTCAGCTCTATACAGCATTTTGAAACATATAATAGATATATTCGTTTCGATGTTGAGTCGTCATCAATCAAGTGGCGATGTTATCCCATTGATATGCAGTGGGTGCAATCTGTTCTTGTCATTGCTGAAAATCGGAATTAATCAGACTTATCACTGAGTTAGTCACTTCCTGTGGGGATGCGTCAACGCATTGCTTAATTACTCGAGGCTTGAATAATTGGCAACACGAATATTATAAAAAGTTGAAAGCTAAGCTAATGCAATAGCTTCTGTGAGCTGTGCATTTGTTTATAAGTACTTACATACGTGTATGTATATTTGCAGTTCCGTGTGAAGTAACTCGTGTTTTTCTCTCTCTTATTTCTTGCAGTTTAATTGTGCAACTACAGCAACAGTAACAACAAAAGCAGTAGCAGCGGAGTCTCAGCAATTGGCACAATTGGCGATAAATCAGCGGCAAAAGAAGAAGAAGGAGCAGTGGTCGATGCAGTGTGAACTTTAGCAGACGCAGCGCAAAAGGAACAAAAACAAACGAATAATAGCGGTGCATGCAAAAAGGGAAAACGAATAAATCTACGAACAACGAACTGCAAGCGAGAGCGAGATAGCAACAGCTGTCTTATTAGCATTTGCGTTGCGGGGGAGTAGAAGTAAAAGTGCACTCAAAGATAAGAGATTGTGCAGTGAAAGAGAAAGCAAGCAGTTGGAGTTAAAGCAGTGCCAGTTCGAACGCAAGAGAAAGTGTTTTGAGTAACCAAAGTGGCCTATAACTGGAGTTGCAAAAGATGTTAACGGAAACGAAGAGAAAGGAGTTGTTTGACGAAATAAGTGCATGAACTAAATGTAATCGGTAGTTGCAAAGAGTAACAGGGAATTAAGAGTAGTAACTGAAAGAGTCAAGGACTTCTTAAGAGAAGTTCTTAAGCAAGCAGTGCACACAGCCGTATTCGGAATCTCGCGCCCCACTCGAGTATCGATTTTGCCTTCGCTATTTTGCCACTTGGTATTTTAGTTGGCAACCGTTGACAGTTGACAGCTGCAGCGGGAGTCGCGGGGGCGGGCCATCAGCATGTGGCCCTAGACAATAGCAACAACCATAAAACGCGACAACAACAAAAAGTGCAAAAATAGAGGGGAAATCTGAGGAGAGGAGTCGGAGGAACCACTTGGCATTCAGGCAGCGAAGCATAACCAGGCGGTTGGGCTTAGACCGGAAAAGCGTCGATGAGTTGAGAGCCCTCACATCCACTCCACTCCATTCCACTTCACCCTCTTACCCTCCAAAAACCCCTCCGAACTCCGTCCCGCAATGGATGCGTCCCCCCTGTCGCCGGAACAGGCTCCCATCTTGGTCACGGGGAGGTCATTGGACCAGCAGGTGGACGCCAGTTCGCCCAACCACTCGAACTACTCGAATCTCACGAACAGCAGCAGCGGCAGTAGTGCCAGCAGTCCCTCGGCCTGCTCGTCCTCGTCTTCCTCATCCTCGGCTCCCCAATATAGTGCGGATATCCGGGCGGCTGCACTGCATCCACAGCAGCAACAGCAGCAGCAGCAGAGAGGATCTGCCTCCGGATCGCGCTCAGGATCAGGATCGGGGAAAACCTGTGAGCTGGACGTGGGCGAGGAGCGGGATACCTTCTCGCCGGTCTCCAGTCCGGATTGCAACGGAGCCGCCGCCGCGATTGTTCTGCCCTCTTCGAGTGGCTCTGTGGACAACAAGATCTACGAGGGAGGCAGCAAGGTGAAGCCACCCTCCAAGGAGGAGAAGCAGCGCCAGAACGAAGAGATCGTGTGCATGGAGACCTCGACGGTGTCCACGGAAACTGGTTCCTGGGAGTCCATGTACCCCGCAGCGAGCGTTGCTCCGCAAGCTGAACCCGAGGAAATGGAAGCCACTACGGTTTTCAAAGGCATCAGTGCCAGCTCTTTGCTGCGGGACCTAGAGAAGCGGGATCAGCCGTTGTCCACCTCGGGAACCAGCGCCTGCTTCATAGACGCCTCATCGCTGAGGGACGAGGACGAGGTGCTGTCCTTCCCCAGTCTAGATGGTCACGGCCAGGAGGAAGAAGTCGGGCAAGAGGCGATTGGCGACGAGGAGCCAGAGGGTGAGCCCTCGCCCACAGAGCAGCTTGAGCAGTTCCACAAGTCCTTTGCCAGGTGCAAAGGCGTGAGACTAACACAACAACAACAGCAGCAGCAGCAGGGAGAGTCAGAGCAAGAGGATCCCCCTGATGAGCCGGCGGAGGAGCGACATGCTCCCATATCGGTGCCCTACAGCTTCCAGCACAATGCCCAACACTTCAGTGTGCTGCCCCTGGGCAGCAGTCCCAAGTTCACCCACCACCAGCATCAGCACAACCAGAGTCAGCAGCATCATCCCGATCTCAGCTACACCACGGACTACTCCTCCAGCAGTCCGGCACCGAGTTTAGTGTGGTCAGAGCAGGGCAGGACCCATCAGGGCGCCTCTTCCTCCACGCCCCACAACTCGATGGTGCACATAGAGCCCGCGTCGGCAGGGAGCAATAACTCCTCCATACACAGGGACTACACTCTATCTTCCTCATTGTCGCATCACAGGGACTCGGGTGCCTATTGCAGTGATGCCACGGATTCGCCACTGCCCCTGCCCCGCACTCCCAAGAGAAGTTCCAAGTTCGATGAGGCCAATCCCATTGTTTCTGGTGGAGCATCCATTGAGGATTTCCGGGAGAAGCAGTGCGAGAGTCCCAGCATCAAGAGACGCACAGATACCTGCCCGATAGTCTCCGGCGGATTTGTGTCCCTGGACTTTGCGCCGACCCGCCCTCTGGCGGATGACGACGATGATGAGGAACTGGGTGAAGATCCTGAAATTGCTGGTGTGGAGATGCGCGTGAAGACGGGAATTCAGAGAAAGCCGGTTCCCGGAATTGCTTCCTGGGTGGTGGACATGAGTGACTGCCGACCGGAGAGGCGGAGGAGCACGAGCAGCACCACCTCCAGCTTCCGGGAGCGCTCCGATTCCAACAGTTCGCACAAGAGCGGCTGCGGCTTCTACGTCTCTTTGGATGACATGGACAGAAAGCCTCAAGAGCAACCAAAGGCAGCAGCGGTGGCACCTCCATCGCAACTGAGCAAATCCTACACGGCACCCAAGTCATCTGGATTCTTCGTGGATCTTTCCCAGAGCGCCAAGGATGAAGAAGTGGCACCAAAGAGTCAGGAGGTGGCCGAAGACAAGGAGGAAGCCAAGCCAGAACCCAAGAATATTTTCAGTATGTTCATTGATTTTGGGGAGCAAAAGACACCGCGCTCCAATGGCCGAAAGGAACCGTTGAGTCTGGCGCAGAGGTTGTCCAGCTCCCTGAGCTCTTCCACTTCGAGAAGGGGCGACACGGAAGTGATGAAGTCCAGCGCCAGTTCCACGGAAACCCTGATGGCCAAGAGCGCCAACCTGAAGGATGTGTCTGCAGGAGCTGGTGAGAGCAAGTCCCTGGACTACAGATGCAACCTGGAGCCCCCGCTGACAGTGGCTGCATTGCGTCGTCTGTCGCAGCAGCATCGCCAGCAGAGCGATCCCGCCAAGCGCCACAGCTGGGGCAGCAATGGTCAGCCGGAGCAGGCATCCGGATCTGGAACAGGCAATGATTGCAAGCGGTCCATCAGTCTGACTGCCAACGGAGCAACTGATTCGGGAGCGGGTCTAATGAGCATCATTGACAAGCTGCCTATTATATCTAAGGCCTCCTCCCTCTCCATCGATAGCTCAGTTTCTCCCTACGATGATTTCAGTGGATCCAATCCTGGAATAAGCAGCTGTTCGGAGGAGGAGCAGGGTCAAGTGCAGGGACGGATCAAGAAGAGGCGAAGGGATGTTCAAATAAATGAGACATATGACAAATCCAGCTTGGCTTCGGTAACTGAGGGCATTCTATCCAAGGACTTGTCGCCCGCTTCCAATACAGACACCGATGATCTCACCTTCCAGCAGGACGAACAGCTTGCCAAGGAGCAGGCGGAACTGGTCTCAGTGCCCCTCCAGCTGACCAGCAGCTCCAATCGCACCAGCAGCGTAATGGAGACCATCATCGAGGCCAAGGAGACGGCCTCGCCCAAGAAGCAGGTTACACTCAGCAATGGCCATACCATGGAATCCTTACACGCCACCATCGAAAAACAAAAGCAACTGCTGGAGACGGTCAACGAGCACGCCGAACAGACGACACAGCAGCCCAGCCAGATCCCCTCGAGCTTCGTTAAGCTGTCCGACATGGATAAGCCCGTGAAGCACGATCTGCAGTCACCGGATTCGATGAGCAAGAGCGTGGGCAACAACCACAGAAGCTCCCAGCTAGGTCAGAGACTCTACAGGGACGAGAACCGTGCGCGTCCCCACTCCTGGGCCATGACTCGATCCACGGGCAACACGTTGCAGAACTTCACCAACTCGGTGGACAATATAAGGAGTCTCTCTCGGCTGTTTCCAAACTTCTCGAAGGAGTTTTCAAACTCCCTGCCCAACGGTATGACACTGGAGCAGATTCAGGGTCAGCAGGTGGACTACATCCAAACGGATCTCAGTGCGGACTCGAGTCTTGCCTCCAGTTTCAGTAGATCGGGAATGGATGAATCCTCGCTGAGCTGCAGGCAGCCCAGGCGTTTGGGGGAGGATTTGCTCAAGATGTTCCTGCAGGAACTTGCCACGGATATGCTGGTGGAGGTGCACGGTCGGCGCATCCGTGCCCACAAGTGCATCCTGCGCTCTCGTTGCCAGTACTTTGCTGCCATGCTGGCGGGGCACGGATCGCAGAGCGTGGTCTCCCTGCAGGGTTACTCCTATGCAGCCGTGCACTTTGCACTGTGCCACATCTACTCGGGTGCCTCGCATCCGCCGGATGGGATCAGTCTGATGGAGCTGGCGGCTCTGGCGGACTTGCTGGGACTGGAGGGTCTCAAGGAGGTAACCTCGCATGCTCTGAAGACGAACTACTGCCACAACTTCCACAAGCCGTGCTCCGGCTGCACCGACGGCATCCTGCAGGTGCTGCCCGTGGCGTTGAACCATGCTCTGGATGATCTGTATAGGAAGTGCCTGCGCTGGACGTGTCGCCACTACCTGAAGGTGTGGCCAACTAGGCAGTTCGCACAGCTGCCCCCAGACATACTCGGCCGATGCCGCCAACAGATCGTCGCTTACATGGTGTGTATTTGGATAAACTCTTCTCTAATTAAGTGGATAACCTTTCTCTACTTTTCACCCTTAGACATCGGAGACGGTGCTGGACACGGTGCTCGATTGCGACCACCTGCTGGCCCAACTGTCGGCCTATCGATGGGGACACGTCTGCGAGCAACTGGTACGGGAGATCCTAGAGGCAGCGTACGCCTATGTGGGCGACCACTTTGCCAGCTTGATTGCCAGCGACTCCTTCCTCTCGCTGGGCCACGACCGCAGCAGGCA